TTTCAAGTAGATGTTTTTGATGATGTGAGGCTTATACAATTTAAGAAACTACAGGGGACGCCAGAGGCAAGATATTTAGCTTCAGAGACATTGCTTACTACAATATGCAATTCTGTCCATTTTATCTTCATATACTGTATGCTGTCAATACAGAAACAATCCCGTTCAAATGTATTCAATGTTAGGAATTAAAAGCAGAATAGAAAGCAGAAAACAAAGACAGAAATAATGGAACAGTGGTGCTGTAATGTAGTACAGTTAAACAGGAGCAGTTCATGCAGAACCTTACTAGACTCTATTTTAATATCACAAATTGACTTAAGAATTTAGGGATCCCTCTCTAGGATAAAGATTTTATTGTAGGTTATCCAATGGACAGAATTTGGACTACAAAGATATCCAACATACTGTATAGCTTTTTGGTGTACTGGGAGTTTGTATAAAGAATATCATATTTAGGAATGTAAAGAAATAGAATAAAATAAGTCAGAGAAACCAAATGGTTTCCTGTTGCTTATTATGTGGATCTGATTAACTGAAAGTTAAAGATTTGTTTTTCATAAAGCATCATTTGCAATGGTTTTCAAGTATCTAATATAAATTCGGGGACTCTGTGATATTTAAGAAGGAATGTTTTTTCAACTACAAACACTAATATATAATAATGCTTCTGCACTAAATTCACGTAACCATGGATATGTTTTTAAATGCCTTTTAATTGTGCTTGTATTCTCTCCCGATTACTAATGGTTAGAAAATGGATTACTAATATACAGAAACAGGTGGGCTGAATATTATTTCTAACTGATATCAAGAAATAAATGAAATAAGCTCCTCTTCAGTGTTTGTCTAAAATGTTGGTAGTTTGCACATCCAAGGAGAAACTGAAACCGTGACAAAATTTACTTTTGGCATTTAAAACTTAGAAAACTGTAGTTTCTGTAGAATAGTATGAATATGAACCAAAACACTCCCATTAAATTCTTGTCAGTACACTAAAAATGCTTAAAAAATAGGTCGGTATCTGAAGTCAGTACAATTTTTACACGCAGATCATTGCAGAACAATGAAAAAAAATTACCTACAATGTATATTGCAGAAAGACATTAGATGAAAAATCACTATTATAAGAGAGCATTGTGGTATTATTCAATAGTTATTGTATAACTACAAAACTGTATTATTTTTTTGACAATATAATTTCATTATTACAATATAGCATTCCACTGTTTCATAAACATGCTATATGTGAAAATATATTTAACTTCTGTGGCAGCACAGTGACACAATGGTCAGTATTGCTTCAACATGTCCCTGTTGAAAAAAGTGGTTAGAAAATGGATGGACAGACACTTCTTAACCATTCCACATGTTTACAAGTCATAGTAGTCATAATAAGCCATTATAAATCATTATATTATGTTGAAGATGCCATTCCACTTTCATTATTTTTTCAGAGATGCTGAGTTCGTTTGTGACACACACAAACTGAAGTTGTGGTTAGGGTTCTGCACTGGAGCGCTGTGAGTTCAAATCCCAGATTTGACAGTGTTGCTGTACCCCTGAGTGAGGTACTTCACTCCACTATAGTCTTGTTGTATAAATGGCAGCTTTCCAGTTTGTCATTGGTAATGAGCTCTCAATTTACTTACATGGTGCAACTGATTGAATTTCCACTAGAAGCCCTACAAAAATGGCCACAGATCCTTTCATGTCAACATACATCACCTGCTGAACATAAATCACATATTCATTGAGTGGTAGCTTCATGTTGGGCTTGTATAACATGGTTATCTTATTGAATATTAATGAAATAACAAATAACTTATTCTTCTTAATGGTAAAATGAATTATTTCACTGTGTCTCATACCATAGTACTGTGTGTAATGTGGAAATTTCAATTTTACATACAGTGATAGGTGATAAGAAGCAAAAATTACAATTAAAATTTGTAACATTTTTTTTCAAATATGAGTAGAATCTTTCATAATGCACATGACATTTGACTAATAGTTTCTTGAAATATGAAATACCATGGATTTGTATACATACCAAACATATACTCTATGAGAGCCTTAAACCTCAGTGTGTTTTGATCATACAGTATGTAACTTTCATGGAATTTCTTATGGAAAATGTTACAATCATATGACTTGATTTATTCGGTTTTGTTTTCTTAGAAAAGCAGAAAGATTTTATAAATTCAATAAAAGTTTTTGCCAGTTTTTATGACTAATCTTGATATAGTCAGGTAACTTTGGCTTGGGCATAAATTGCAAAATTCTAGTGAGGTAGGTCAACATGCATAGGCTGCAAAGGAACAAGTTACAGGTTTATTCCATGCTGATAAGAGAAGAAAAGAAACACAACGTTTCAGCTGTGGGGCCTTCTTCGGGTGTCAACGCTCGGGTATTTAAACCTGAAGAAGGCTCCGCAGCCAAAATGTTGTGTTTCTTCTCTTTTTAGCATGGAATAAACCTTAACCTGCATCTTAATTCTAGTGAGCGTTTTGCTGCATCTGGTGAAAATCATGAAGGATACTGACGGTGATCCAGGTGCGAGGGGGACTGCAGGCGAACAAGTTCAGTGGGAGTCCAAAAGGGAAAAACAGCGCAATCCAAAGTCCAGGTAGCCGGGAGATCAATCCAAGGCGAAGACAGAGAGAAGGGATTCAAGAACATGGAAAATAAAACCATAAAGGAGCAAGGCGCTCCAAGCCGCGGACTCAGATGGTTAGGATGCCTGGTGAAAAGGCCTTGTCCTAAGGCTTCTCCTGAGCCCGGTGGATAGGCGGGCCTTCAGACATCCGTATTCCAAAACTGAGCCCAGAGCTTAGGAGGAAAATAGCTTATATAGTAATGGGTTAAACAGGAGACAGGTGCATGTAATAATGAAACAAATAATAAAAGGTCGGTGCGCCACTGTGACAGTGTGATGGTAAGGCTAGGAATGTCTATTAGCTACAGTACTCACTTGTGTTGACTGATGGCAACCTGCCTACACATAGCTGTATTGATTATCTTCCTGGACCTCACATGTTGCCTGTCCTGCAGGCTCATCCTGCCTTGACAACATTCCAGAAGGACAATGCCAGTCCTGAAGGAGCTCGTGTGATAATGGCTGTCTAGCGTGTATGCAAAAGGAATTTTGTCTGATTTAGTCCATAGATGTGTCAGAATTCCTAAGCATCAGTCTTCACGGAGAGGCTATTGATCATTGCCAAATCTAAAACAACATAGCATATTCAGTTTTGTAATCTGACTAAGGTTTTGGTTGTCCTTCAGTTGGCCAGGATGTCCCTGGTTTTGCAGCAGGAACACTTGGAGTCGGCAGAGAACAGTGCTGTCACTGAGTGCAGAATCAGCCTTTCAAACTTATCTTGATTCTCATCTACCTACTGCTGTCCAGAACAGGGGCTGTGGGACTCACAGTGGGAGACATCGGGCACATTTCAGATGATGGAGTACAGGGTTTTCATTCCTCTATACGGCAGTCATAATTTTTGGATTTTAAATTCTGGTTGTGTATAGGGAGAAAATAACTGGAAATTGCAATTTTATGTTTAAGAAACAATAACCACCAACAGACCTACATCAGACTTAACATAGTGATCCAATTACATACAGCTAAACACAGCTTTCCAAATGTAATTACATGTACATTGTATATCCCTTGAGATTCAACACCATATTACTTTAGTCAATTATTAAATGATTTTATTAAATGTATTACATTTGCTTATATTTTATGAATTACAGACAAATTCGGCTTATGTGGTTTTATTCAAAAACCGTGCGGTCTATTGCAATAAAAAGGGTTTAAATATATAAAATAAAGTCAAATTATAGTTTAAAAAGCAGATCCTGACACTAACGTGTCCGGGGATCAAATTTAAGTTAAATAATAAACTTCCCACAAGTTATAGATTGTTCCATTGTTTTTCCTGGCACACTATAGTTTCAGATTAAAAGAACAGGAAACAACTTAAAATACATAAACATTTATTTATGAAAACCTGCCAGACAGCACAAAATACATACACATTTATTTATGAAAACGTGCCAGACATAGCACAAAGTACATTTACTACAGTTTGCAAACATTTGCATTAACTGTGAGTAACTATACCCAGCTTTTTTAGCCAAGACTGCCACTGATACCAACAGTATCCAAAAGAGACACTTTCTGTATAAGGAAGATAAAAAACATTCCTGTAAAAAGAAAGGTGCTATCTAGGTCAAAACTGCTCTCTAAAGCAATGCTAAACTGCAGGGAGCACTTCTCCATTTATCAAATAAATCCATCAACATCCAACAAATTGCTTTGTGGATAACTTGAAAAAGAAATTATGACATTAAAATAACACAAGCCTATATTTAGAAATTGAATTGACTTGAAGACAGTGTTGGACATCTGGCCTGTAAAGTGCAATACAGTTCAGTATATGAGGCCTACTGTGCCACTGCTTCTGAAGTCCCCATTTTCTGTATTGAACTGAGTGGTAATCAACACGTTTAGTGGTCCTACCACAATCTATATACATTTACTTGTAAAGGTATTCACTCCCTCACATTTTTCTCAATTAAGAATGGTGTACAGTATATACATGTGAACATCTGAATCAAAACTTGGGTGCTCAAATCCAACACATTTATATAAGTTAAATGTCAACAAACACCTCAAAGAAAAATATTAAAATATGTTGCTTTTGTAAGTATTCACCCCTCTGTGTCAACACCTGGGTGAAAGCTCGTTTGGCAGCAATTACAGCGGTGAGTCTTTTTTTCGTAAGGCTGTATTAACATTACACACCAGGAATGGGGCAATTTTTACCCTTTCGTCTTTCTGAGGTGCTGAAGGCTGTGTATCTTTGATGGACAGCAATTTTCAATTTTCTTGTGCATTTGTTTTATAGGGAAATTTAGCAGCGTGGGTTTCCAGTGGCAGAAGATGCCTCTAAGCCTCATTTGATAGAATAAATAAAGAGTGAAAAAGAATGGCAAGAAAAATGCATTTATTGCATAACTGAGGAACAAACAGAATTAAGAAAACATTTAACAATGAAGAAATCAGAGACGGTCTTGGTGCAGAGCTCTTTGTCTGACCACATACTGTACTGTACAGTCATCTACTGATCACATACAGTATAAATCGCTTCCTAACTAACATAATGCAAATGTAATTATGTCATAATTAAACAACACCTCATCAAAGCTAGGACATAAAAGATTACAGCAGAAAACTGAAGAGAAGAGCTACCGAACAATCAGCATTAAAAACATGCTAAGACACCACAGCACGACCCAGTTTCTTTCAGAACGACGTTAAAGCATAGCCTGCAGCATATATTTTAATACAACATGTACAGCTTTTAAAAGCTTGTATCCTTTCCGTTTCCTTCAGCAAGAAATGGGACAAGAGCTGAGTCAGACATGATTACATTTTTCTCAATAGAAGGCTTGTGTGTGCCTTTAAATTACATCGCTGCTTTGGTATTGTGTATATCCCTTCATACTTGACAACCAATAGGAAAAAAGGCTCCATAGCCCTGAAAGCTGTGCTTTCAGATGGATGCTGTTCGGGTTAAAGCTTTTTGCACAGCTAGAGCAATTTTGGCTTGCTAAGAAGAAAGTGTCAATGGTGGGAAAGAGGATGGAAAACATACCCCACATTTTTGTGACATATTCCCCTTTTAATATTGAAATATTTAATATTTCAGTGCTGTAACTGTAGAATTGTATGCAACTATAAGGTGCTGGGAATCTTTCAGCACTCCCAAGATATCTGGTATTGGTGAGTCATGGAAAGTGCAAATGTAATGATGTTCTAAGGGCTATTGTTTATTGTTTGTGTTGTTTTGCCTAATTCAATTAGCCATTTCTGCAATTTTGAATTAGAGAATGAGGATAAGCTATTGAAAAGTGGTCTTGGGTAAGCTACTATGTCAAACTTAATTACTCTCTGGATTTTCAAAACAAACTTTTGTACCTGTGTTTCATTTGGGTTTCACGGCAAAATACCCAAGCCACCTCTCAAACCATTCGGCTGAAATCAAAAGGCAGAGTCCTTCACATTGATAATTGGTTTGCAGTTCTTTTCTGTGGTTCAAACAGTCTGGCTTCAAGAGCAGTGGCTTTCTGATATCAGCTGTATGTACAGCATTTTAAAAGATCAAGTGAATAATTCACTGTAAAACAGCCACTAGTATTATTCATTAAATTCCAATTAAGACTTAAAAATAGATGAAAAAAAAACATGTGCAGGCAATATGATACAACAGAACGATTATTGCCCAGCAGCACGGTATCTTGCTTTCTACTTCAAGGTAAAAACACCCTCGATTAAAGATTGAAATCAGAGATTCAGATAAAATAGTATACATTTCAAAAACAATTTTAATTAATTTCCATATGATCATTTATATACATAACAAATACGACCCCACACAACGAAACATGTCTAAATCTTCAGAAACAGGAAAAAGCAAAAACAATTTTCTACTAGAGCACAGTCAAATACACAAAAGTTTTATATCACCAACATATATTTTAAGACAATTGTATATAAAATTAAACATGCCGACTCTAAATATATAAGAAAAACAGCAGCGTTTTAGGATTCTTATATAAGGCAAAATACTTATTTAATGTAAGTATATCTTGCTTCTTGGCAATTTGCATTATAGTTGCTTATGTTAAGGACAAAGCTAGCTGTTCTTGGCACAATGGAAATGTAACAATGTGATGTAATGTTCATCATTAACTTCTGTGCCACAATAGAAAACTGTGTGGACATATGTTCATATGATACTACTTCTGCAAAAAAAAAACACTAAAAAGAGGATAAATGTAATGTTCATCTTTGTCCGTAACATGCTGTATGTTCAAATGAGGATTTTGACAAAAACCTAAACGACATACTGTACTATAGCTTATTCATGTCTTCATAACATATAAACCTAAGTGCATATAAAATATGAACCACTAAATCAGTGATGCTTCCTGCTTCCATACATTCTAAAATGTAGTAAAATTCTTTCTCAGAGTCATTGAAGTTATCTATGCATGTCATTAAAGGTAAATTAGAAAACTATTCAATTGTTTACATGTAAACTGCAATACAATATATTAATATTACAATTTTTTTAAAAATATACATTAGATTTTGAACAATTCAGGCAGACAGCAGCATTCTGCATGCAATTACACATTATACAATACTACTCAAATTATTTTTAAATAAACTCTTATTTTAAAATTCTCAGCGGCGCAGCTATGCTTGAACAAGTGCCCTCCTCAGAGTTCAGTACTTAATACCTTATGTCAGAATGCTCACAATATGATTTCTCTCTTCACTCTAGGAATTCATGAGCTTATGCTTATTTAACATTGCTTACCAGGCTTTGAAAACTAGTCCATTAGTTGTCAGGAGTATTGGCACTTACTGAGGCAGCTTGTGCTACTGCTTTTATTGCATGATCTGCACTTACATTTGGCATCTACATTAACATTGCATGTTACAAAAAGATCAATGAGCTGAAGATCAATGAAGTATATACAGTATGTATATAATTAACTACAAAATCAGATATAACAAGTAGCTTTCACCTTTACAAAAATTGCCTTCAAAGTGCATGTGCACTTAAAAAAAACCTCAGCCTTTGTTTGCTTTGCATTTCATTATATCCCCTCTTCAGTAAACAGGAAATTAATTAAATTCAGAAATTGAATGAAGCCACTTGTTATTAAAATTCTGACGGGCGTCAAGGATAACCAATTAATCTATACATCTTTAACATTGTGAGAACTTGTTATATGCTTGTAGTATCATGCTGTTCTATCTTTAATGTTCCTTTCCTGCAACTCTTGTTACGTTCCTGTAATTAAAATGGGATATAGCGAGACAATGTGCTATGTGTGCTGTTATGTCTGATTTGGAGTTTGTATGTGCAAACGGCGCAAGTGTACACAAGTAAAATTGCACAAGTTCAACCACTTTAACCCTCCTGCAGCTTGCTCAGCAAGATGGAGAAGGAATGAACTCTCAGAATATTATTTGTAATCATTTTGCCTGTTGCAACATGAAGTCACTGGGACATTCAGTGTCAACTTGTCCAAATACGGTGGGCTCCAGCAAAACTCCCATCACGCACGAAGCTGACTGTAGCTAACTACAAAATGACGGGATCAGCAGATAGTCGCTTATGATGGCTTCCAATCATTTGTAACAGTGGTTGCTAACATATTTCTGTGTGTACCCATGAATTACAATGACATCATCACTCCATGTCACCAAACTGCACAAATGCAATTGTCACATCAATACAGATTCCAGCCTCGTGGATTTTATTGAAGTTTGATCTTTTCTGCTTAACAGCAACAGTGTCTTATATGGCAATTTTCAGAATGGTCGCATGAATGGTGTGCATTTCATTAATCTTTACGAGTCTTATTCAATAGTAAGCTTACGGCGCTGTGACCTGTGCCCAGGTTTTGAGACTAATGCTCCACCTGCTGCTACAGCAACACCAATTCAACACAATGCCTTATTTTTCCACATCTGGTACTACAAAGCAAATATCACATCAAGCTGGGATCACTGTGATACTGATTTGTTAAATCTTAATCCCATCTATCACCTGTGGAATAAAATGGAAACACGTCAGCAACTGTCAAATGGCACTGCAAATCTAGCAATGACTGTGCTGAGTGAGATAAAAAGCATTTCTACAAGCCACGAGCAGTGTCTCTGCCAGTCTGTTGTTCCATTTGCATCCTTGTGATTGATCTAATGTGGGACACAGCAGATACTGATCAGGTAAGCAGGAGCTCCCAAACATCTTGTCAGATATTTGTTTACAGATGTTGAAATGGTGTTGCTATCAGAATGTGTCACTTAAAATTTACCTTGAAGATGTGGTTTTTGTGCACAATTTAAACTTGCAGACATGAACGTACCATCAATTTACAGTTTTTTTACTATAGTTTCATTGATGCTAATATTTACATTTGGATATTTTGAGGTTTATATAAGTAGGTGGATACAATGTAAAAAAATGAAGTGTAATTTGTAAATAAAAACAATGAAAAATATTTCAGTATATTTCTATACATCTATAGTATTTTAAGTTAAATTAATGGGTGGACAAGTGATGCCCTGTCATGCTCTTTTACTGAGACCTGATAACAAAATCAAAACAGCTGGAAGGCAGAGACTAGTGTAAAGCTGGTTCACCAAAATGAGTCAAGAACTGACGTTCACTAAAGCTTGTGCTACCTTAACTCACCTGACATGAGCCTGTTTTCTGACACTATGCAGATTCACTCTCACAAAAAAGATTCCATCAGTACGAAAATGGAATTTAAGTAGTTTAAATTGCGCCTTGTTCCAAAGGCGCTAATAGGCACTTATCTGGCAATGTGTAATGTAAACCTAAATTTGTTTTTTTCACTAGAAGATGGTGAGTAGACCTGTGGAAACAGTAGCAAGAAGGGATAATTAGAATACTGGGCAAGCCATATATTTCTGACACAGTCACTGTGATTTTTTAGGTGATACATCTAAAAAAAATGTGTGTGTATGCTTTCAGTGTGCCTAAAATCGGCTGAGAAAATGCAAAGAGCTGTACATTAATATTAAGCAGAGAGATGAGCATGTTTTTATAACAACTGCAGCTTAAGCTCAATAATGCCAAGATGCATTTCTGTGACAATCCACAGGTTGCAGACAAATTGCGATTGACAATTAAAAAATAGAAGAAAATATAATAAGCATCTGGTGTTAAAAGAAAATGAAATCTGACCATTTTTAAAACCAGATTGAAAGTCTAATCTCAAACGGTAACTGGAAACAGAAAAGATGGGAATTAACATACTGTATAACCTATTTTTTAGATACCTGTACTTGGGCATTTTGATGCATTGGTTCTGTACATTTTTTAGTACATTTTACACAGTCCAGAGAACAGCTAATTGTATTCATATTTGTGAATAAAGTGTTGCACTTGACTGTCAAAAGGAGTATGCTACATGTTTTTGTCACTGCAGTAGGGAATACTGCAGGTGAATTGTACACTGAGAGACATATGGCATTTGTTCCATTACACTTCTGTTATGTTTAATGCATGTATGGCAGAGGCACTCCTCTTAATTCTAGCTTTTTAAAATAAATATTTTACCGCCTCTTTTTACCAATTTTCAACAAAGCTCTGATGCTTATATTTGTGTTTACCTCAGGCACTACGGCATGTTACAATCAAAAACATTTTTAGTATTTGAAATATTTTCAGTTATCTGTAAAACCCTTTAAGGTTTTGTATGGATGTAGAAGTCTACACTTATTGGCCAAAATACAAAAGAACCACCACAATATAACATCCTATGTCTCTCCAAGAAGCAAGAAAAGCATAAATAAAACATAGTTTGCATTCCACAAGGATACAAGGTATTGGCTATTTGGAATGGAACTGCACAAACCAGCTGTTCCACCTGATTTCAATACGATGGAGACTGAGGATTTTTCATACCAGGGAAGGCAATGGAGGTCTGTTATATGCTTTTCAAAACAGATTTGCTTCGCATTGACTGTCTTAGAAAAGTCAATTCATTTGCTATAATATTTGGGCTGTTCGGTGTATAACTCAGAAATAAAAATATGTTTTTGCTAGTTTGTGCACAGCAATTTATGAAGATTAATTCTATTAAAGAAGTAAATAAATACTTCAGTTAAATAAGTATTTGCTTCTATTAAATAAGTTTGGAGTTTTAGGTGGAGTTCAGACTTAAAATAATCCTCCACAAAAATGATTTATATAATCTTCTGTAGATACAATATTACCACAACATAAAAGTGATTTAACTTTTTATTTGACTAATTACCAACAGTAATTTGTGTTCTGATTCCAACTAATCATTACAAATATCTTTAAAAAAAAGAAAAAGAAAGAACATTTTTAGTGTGCTTCTGTCAGCCACAATGCACTATTCATTCTTGGGACATTTTGTTTCACCTTAACAAATGTGGCTTTTTCCAAAGTTTTTAATACTTGTGCAGCAGCACTGAGGTACAATGGAAAAGCTATGCTATGAACTGTCATTCAGATCCCTAGTAAATACAAGTATAGGCACCTCGCTTTCTGTAAAACCAAACATACCCTGTCTTCCCAATCTGTACCATATCCTGGTGGGACATTTCACTGAGATTTTAATGAAGAAAGCTTCCCTGATTTCTACGGATGAGCTTAGATAAGCTTATGAGATGTGTGCTGTGTTGTACATTAACAAGAAATGAAAGTTCAAAGGGACAAAGAGACAAAGGTAAAACAAACAGGGAGGTTCAAAGGACATCATGTCTTTAAGGCAATGCATTTTTATGTATGACTGTTAAAGTACTGAATACGCACATTATCTACCTGACCTGCTCCTTTATGTCACAAGGCTTGACAGGAACTTTATAGTTTGGTAAAGACAAGTATGGCTTGCTAATAGGTTTAGGTTAGAGCTGTTTTAGACGATGAATACTAACATCAATATTAGACCTGACTGAGGTATGATAAAAGAAAGATGATTTTCCGGGGTATATCACAATTCCAGTTTGCCATCACAATGCTCAGTTTACACCCTAACTCAGTTTGATTAGTTTTCAAAATTTTCCATATGTCCTGTAAGCAGATAACAATATTATTTCTCCACAGCTAGTCTTAAAGGTAAAAAAAATATATCTGTAAAACATCATACTGTGAACTAAATAATTTCATTTTTATAATAAAGATACATATGGTAGGATTAATGTAAGATACTGTAACATGTGTAGCCTTTTCTTCTAAGACTAGTATAGTACAAAAATACACTGAAGTCAGTTGGGGTGCTGTTTAATTCTCCACAATCAAAATACCACTAATCTTTGCAAAAGGTGTGCGGAAAGTTGTTTTATGTAACACTTGTGTGTTTTACAAGCTAACTTTATGGCAGTTCACCTCACTTGATCCCAGTATTATTAAGACACAAGAATGCACCATAGAAGCTGGCTCTTCTGAATATATGAGCCCCATTGCACTGAAGATACAATGTATATCAAAACAAAGACTGAAGATATGCTCAATCCATCAATCTTTCAGTCCCCTGAAGAGCATCAATGAATTTTTGTTCATATGTAGAAGAAATAAGCCTAAAAAGTTTAACAGAATTTACTGAATAACCTTGTTATCAAATGGGATTCTTAAGGATCTTCCCATATGATCTCATGTTATGCATATTTATATCTATCTAAGCTTTTGATAGAAAGAATACATCACTGAGATTGCTAAAGGAGCAACAGCTGCAATTCCACTATAATGAGTTTTAAGTTATTATCAGGATAAAGCATATCCTTAAAATGAAATTTCCTTAGGCCACTTGAACGTGCTTCTACCTCAGAGGCTACGAGAACAAAAAATAAAAAGAAACAATAAAACTCCTCGGTTCCCAGCTTCTCAACAGATCACTGTCAAAAGTTTTTTTGTCCGTACATTGTCCTGCTGGTTGTTTTGGTATTCGGCGCGAAGGGTAGGTTTTCTGAGACAGTTCAGGGTGTGATGTTTCCCAGAAGGTCAGGGCTGAAGTATCCGACAGGCACAGGGCGTGCCCCAGTGGGCACCACAGTGGGGTTTAACAGAAGGCTCTGCTGCGAATCCACAGCCTGTACCAAGGTGTAGTCTGAGAGACAAGGCGGTGAGGCCACTGAGGAGTCTGCTGCCCCACAGGGGCCCTGCGGCTCCACCGGCTGACTCTCGGCAGATGAACAGCTCTCCTGGGCGAAGCCCTTCTCTCTGCTGCGCTCGTGTTCGTCTCGGGAAGGGATGGCGCCTATTTGTTTGGCATCAGTCTCAGAGGTGTAGGCACTGACCGGGACCATGGCAAATTGACACTTCTTATCTTTCAGGGGGTTTTCCTTTTCTGAGGCCTTCTCTGCTTTGCACTGTTGGCCAGGCGACAGCAAGACACCCCCAGCTGGCGTAATGTCACTTACCTGGGCGTAGAAATCCATGTTAACCCAGCTCTGGTTGCTCAGTTGTGTCTGGATCACAGGGCGGCCTTCTGCCCGGCTGGCTGCCGGCAGAGCAGCGGGATGTGAGGATTCGGGAGCAGAATAATTAGAAGGGGAGAGACGCGGAACGGCAGCATGGCTTTCTGATTCGAGAAGGCCGGCGTTCTCCCCCAGGGCTTCCAGCTGAGTGAGGCTGAAGGGTACAGCTTCGGTATCCGGGAGCTCTGGATCGTAACAGCTGGCACGTCCCGAGTCATCGTCCTTGATACTCAGCGCATTGGTGTTGTTGAGCTGTGCCAGGTCCAGGAGCTTGTGAGTGCTGGAGCGCTCCATCTTCTCTCCAGGCTCGTCGATATCCAGCTCGATGAACTCCACCCACAGGTCTTCAGTGTAGAGTTCGGGCTTGTAGGTGTGGTGGTTGGTGAAGATGGAGTTCAGTTCATCCAGTTTGCCTTTCTGCGAAAGAAAAAATACAATTCAAAGAACATTATTAAGCAGTTCACAAAAACTGCTTAAAGGGTCCTTATGACATTGAAGAAAATATTCTTTTATTTTCCGGTTTTCTTTTAAATATATATTTTTTTCAGATACTTCGCCTTTTTATTACATTCCAAATTGGCAGATTTCATCACTATATATTTATATTAGAGTTGTAACATTGCTGTACTCTGTAAAACTACAGGAAAGTGTTTTATCTCAGCCAGTATCAGTTCTAGGTATGAGGGAATGAAATCATGAAAAAAACACTGCACCATTAACTTGGGTAATGATCTGAAATTCTGCCTTAGTTGCATGATTTTAACATGTGGACTTTAGACTAACATTACTACCAGTTGGTATAACATTTTTAAAAGCTTGAACAACCAGTACTGCCAGCAGTACTCAACTGTCCTTTTTTATTATAATGTTAGCCCGTGTGGTGAATTAACTTGGAACAGCGTGTCCTACTATTATATACATTCATGTGGAATATTGCCGCAGTGCCAAATTGACATAAAGTAAGCATGTTTGCTTTGTCCACTGACCATGTAAAGGTCTCCTATTATATGTCTAATGTGCCAGGTCCAAACATGCTGCTAATCTGATGAGCTCATGCCACAAGGAGCTATCTCTCAATTACAAACTGATTGAGACTTAAAACAACAGGTGATTTGACATTTTGGTCAATTAAGTAGCTTAATTATGTAATTAAGATCAGAGGGCCCACAAGTATATATGGCATTGAATTGTAAATGAAACTGCAAAACCTGGCATATGAATGCAGATTGTATATTTTTTATTAAACCAAAATCTACCAAAGCATAAATTATGTTTGTGCATTCATATGCTATTTCGCTCTTATGCCACATTCTATTACCAGAATATAATACTAAAAATATTACGTACCTTCAGAAGCTCTGGGTCAATTCCTTTAATTTTTGGAACTGGCACAGGTGGCAGAAAAATCACCATTAGCCTTAGAAAAAGAACAGTTTCCATCAGAGGATATCACAGTGAATTTATTTTCTAGAGACAGGCAGTGTGTATCATAATATTTGTTGACAATTATGATGGAAATGAAAACAAGCTATGTTAGAGAATAAACTGTTTATTCTTCCTGACAGTTAGGTCTTATATAGTGATTTAAACCCTTAATACAAATGAACATGAACATGTAACTTCAATCAACAGTACACTACTCATGTAAATGTGTTTTATTTGATTGCAATACTTTTTGTGTCTGTTTCTACATAATTTAATGAAATTACATAACTGCTGCCTAAAATGTTTGGAAAAAATAACTGCTAAAAAAGAAAGAAAAACTTGTTAAATTGCTCAATTGAAATGGGATCTCTTCCAACACTCAACACTGATCTTAAACTGCTCATTAAACTGTCAGTGTAATCATGTAATAGAGGTATACTCAGAAAGACTAATTAAGATTTATTAAATTCTACTACCAATACAATGGAACCAATGAAATGGAATGGAATCGTTTTCTTTCAGGTTTTATTATTGTGTTGTATTGTATTGTTTTATTAATGTTGTTTAATTGGTTAGATTTTGTAGGATTTTATTGTGTTAAAATGTGTACCAATGCCTAGAAATGAGGTCCAAAATCTGATATCATCTATATCTATTAGCAATTGACACAAGGTCCTTAATACTATATAGTACTGTACAGTTTAATGCATAATTTCACTGACATTTAGTATACAGTACGTGTCCTTAAGAAACTATTTCCATACAATATAGAAGAACTGCAATGTTTTGGCTTTATAAATCATTATATATTTTTTATATTTCTTATGAAATATAAGTGAAAATGCATGGCTAATATTTGTTGACAACTGTTCAGTTTTGTTTCTAATGTGCAGATAACTCATCTTCTTTCTTTCTGACACCTTCTTTCTTTAAGAAGTTTTTGGTTTTATTGAGAAAAGGATCAAGGAAAGGAATTCCAGTAAAATGTAAATCTATATGTAAATATATATATATTTACCTCTGCTGTTGAGAGAAAACTATGAGCATTAGTAGAATTGCCACTCCAACTGCTCCAAAGATAAAGACAAAAGCAACTGGAAATGTGGACTCTGAAACAAAAAGAAAAGATTTGTTCTAGAATGAAAAATGAAAACATCACCATGTGGATGGTATTGTATGTCTCTTTGCCATTTTAAAGTATTTAAACTATTTGAAAAAAGACAGAATGGAAACCAACCAAAAAGACACAACTGATTTTACTAATTTGAACATTTGTTTCTCATACCTACATACTGGTATGCTAATTACCAGGTTACTGGTAGACATAAGTCTCTCTGCTTATGTGCAAATTACTTTTAGAAAGTGGCTTTCCCTTTCTGTAGGTATTATAAACTAGATGTCCTATCCTTTCCTCGTACTTATGGAGCCTATTATATTTATCTAAAAGTTAAATTTAAAAAATGCCTTACAGATAAAATTGATTTCAAAGTACAATAAAAAAGCCTAAATTCTTGTATTCCATTTTTACAAATATGTGATAAGCGTATGATCATATAAATATCACTGGGTTTTCCTGAGATATCATAAAGGGATATTTGCCATTCATTTAAAGAGAAGTTGTATAATTATCTATAGAAAATAACTTCCCTGTTAACTTGGCTGTGTTCTGCCTCTTTCTTGGTGGCTACATAGCTTCAGTCACGTGCTTACAGTTTGACACAGATCAACATGGCTCACCATCAGCTAAACTGACAGCTACCCAACATCCATCTACCAATGCATTTTCTAATTGCTTCTTCCATTTTTCCCAGCAAGCAACGGAGACAAAGCAGGTGGTTCTCTGGGTGAGATGTCAGTTCACCGCAGACAGATAGACACAGACTCAGACATGCACACACTCACAGCAGGCCAGTTTTCCCTGGAGCTAATTAACCAGTATTTCTTTGAACTGTATGAGAAAACCCACAAAAACATGGGTAGAACATACAAGCCCCACGCAGATCGCACACTAACACGGGTAGAACATACAAGCCCCGTGCAGATAGCACGCTAACATGGGTAGAACATACAAGTCCCATACAGATAGCATGCTAATTACGCTATTAATTAAACCCAGGGACCCAGTGCTGTGATGTAGCAATGCTAACCACTGTGTCACCATAATGCCCCATAACCAACGTTTTTAAGGAGTAACAGGCAAAACTAGGTGTACAGAGACATGCGCATGTCAACTACAAATCAGCTTTTGTTTCACTGCTGAAGTGGACAACTAAACTGACCTACCCTTTACACTGGCAAAAGGCACAGGTTACCTAGGTCTTAAAGAAAACTCCTTATCACCATCTATCTGCAAATTTGTAAGGCCATTTTTGTCCCAAAATGTTTTCAACCATGCAGTCTTACCTTTTGTAGGTATCTGAGGAATGTACACAGTTATAGGATCACTGAATTCACCAAAGTTGTCAAACGCCGGCATTCTACACCTCACTCTGACCTCATATTCTGTGTTGGTCTTTAACCCATAAATAGACTGGTAAGTGTGCTTTTCAATATCCATCTGTGAATAAAGGGAATGAACATAAAGAGTACATTTTAATGTCACAGGTAAACCACTCAGCTATTTAACACATTTTTCTACTTTATTTCAACATCAATTTTAAGGGTATGCCTTCCTAATATTGTATGCTTTTGGGCTCTTTAACAGTACATTTTAGGTGAAAAAATCTATTAGGCAAAAAACTACAAGGCGGTATATAAACTGCTTATGGTCATGTTCATCCACATCTATTTCCTAGACAAACTGCTGGCGTAAGTGTGTATGAGTTTGACATTTAATATTTTATAATCTTGAATCTCTTTTTACTTGTTTACATTAAAACCCATAATTTCACATGGACAATCAAGAGTCACTACAGTTCCATTCAGATTAACACATATAAGTACATGTACATATGGTCGCATTACAAACTGGACCTACCACTATCCATTCAGAAACATTGACGACTCTGTACTGAGCCTCATAGACAAGGCTCATCCAGCCACTCTTCACATCTGCTGAAGGAGGAGACTCCCATCGTATGAGGATGTCGAAGTGCTGCCCTGTGAGGCTCACGTTCAGTAATGTCCAGTTCAGGCCGATGGGTGGGTCGGGGTACACTGAAGAACAGAGGAGGATGAAAGAATGAGATTCTTTCATAGTTCCGAAAACTACCACCATCACACCTGCGGAACAGGCAGGAGATTGGAGCTGACGACAGGATTTATCAGTCTCGCTCATTGTAATTTACCTATGTCTTCAACCGTGAAACATTGCTCATCATATGTGACATCCTGGGTGCGTGACCTGAGCTGTATGCAGTATGAGGTCCAAATTGACGTGTAGTTTTTATCGAAGTAACATTCGTTTTCTGTAGAGGAGCTGTAGTCTGGGCACTCCTTCCACTCTTTCCACTCTCTGAGACAAAAAAAATAGATTACCCATGCAGAAAACTTACTTTACAATAGAAAATATAGTTCAAGTAGATAGCTGCGTCAGGATGTGTAAGCTGCAAACGAATGGTTAAAGGTTCATTCCACGCTGAAAGGTAAAGAAAAAAACACAACTTCTTGGCTGTGGAACCTTCTTCACAGTGAGGGAGAGAAAGTAGCAAATAAATAAGGCAGAGGATAACAAAAGATGGAGTAGGTAAAAAAGGGCGTGGAGCAGTGCAATCCAAAAAACAATCCAGGCCTGTCAATGTCCTTAGCAATAACTACTGTACATCACAGACAAATTGAAAATCACTCACACAAGCCAAAGAACAAGACTAGAACTGCACTTCAATATCATATCTTTAGCTAAGCTTCTGTCAGGCCACGTTCAGATATAGAAGATTAAAAACTTAAAACACTTTGCACTGTGGTATATTTGTTAAACCTATTTCAGCTATTAAACAGTTTCTGTCTGTGATAGTTGGAAGGATGATCATTTGGATCCATTCAGTCCCACTTGCTTGACAGTGCTCCCTTCCACTACAGCTACTGCTTCTCCTATGTCTCTTACTTGTCCCGCTTCTGGAAGAAGACCCTCAGAGCGCCGGGCTCGGTCAGGTTCTGATAGCTCCCTGGGCTCCACCAGCATCTGAACGTCTCCTGTTCTCGGGACCGGCAGCCAGTGAAGTGAGGGCCTCTGGCTGGAACTGTAATAAAGGTGCAATATGGTTACCTCATTACAGAATGTAAATTGTAACCCTGATTTATCTTCATCTAACAGTAGAACACATAATGTAGACAGCACATCTCACAGTCCTTGGAAACTGAAAGACACTTGGCCCTAACATATTAAGCCACTACTTCCTTCAAAAAAAATCAATGTGAGTTTCCAACCACCCATCCATTTATTTTCTAACCGCTTTATTCACTTCAGGGTCGTGGGGGAGTCGTAACCTATCCCGGAAAGCAATGGGCATATGGATACACCTTGGATGGAACCTCTGTTCATCGCAGGGCACAGACAGACACAAACAAGCAGAAACTCACAACAGTGCTTTCCCCAAAATACAATTAACCATCAAATATACGTTTTGTCTGTGGTAGGAAACCAGGGCACCGAGAGGAAACCCATGCATCCCACCCACAGAGAGAACATGAAAACTCCATGCAGATAGCACCCCTCAGGAATTGAACCCAGGGCCACCATGCTACCCCTAGGCGAGTTTAAATAACCCAATCATCCATATTATCAACCTAGCCTAGTTCTTGGCTTTTGAAACCACAGCACTTGGTGAAACCCACATTAACATGGGAGAACACACAAACTCCACACAGAATGTGCCTTGGTCTAAAATCAATGCCAGAACCCATGAGATTTTAGCAGTTGTGCTAATCACCACACTTCTCACAGTAGTGGGAACAATAGTAGCAGGAAACTAATACTACCAAACAACAACAAAAATAATAAAAATAATAAGTGACACTGCGCAAATATTCATTGCAGGTTGCCCCACTACAAGGCAGTTCTTCTGAAGAAATAAGAAATTGTTTCACTTCTTAAGTTAAGGGGTAAGGTTAAGTAGGTCATCTTGTGCAAGTCCACAACTTAGCCACGTTACTCTTACAATTTATGATCCACTGGCAACTGAGATGTTGAAAAGGGCTTTTCAATTTAAAAGCAAATTTACTTAGTTCATTAATCATCTCAGGCTTCCCTTATAGCTTTGATATACGCAAGGTTCCTTAGTGTATTTGTTCCAAATATCTCACAGCAGTCTTGTATTGTCATGAGAGCCTGAAGGCTTATTAATGTTATCACAAGCAAATAAGAAATTTCTCTGTTCTATTAAAAGACCTAGCAGTGATGCAGAGTGAATGTGAAGAGTTACTCCAGAGTTTGTTATTTAAAGGGCCTTGCATGTGGTTCAATGTACACTGTGTCACTTCATAAATGCTTACTGTAACTGAACCCAGAGACGAACCATCTGCTGAGTGTTTTCAGACATGACAGTATTTCCCAGAAGTGCAGTCAGAGCTGTAGTGGTTTCAGATATATAACCTCTTTCAGACTTCTGTTCTGTTTTTGCTGCAAGTATTGGGGAACATCTTTATTTCATTTAAGTCCATTTCTAGATTCAGTGAAACATGCAGTGACCTGCACCAACCAATATTTTCAAGAATCTATTATACCGAGAGAATGAGAATGGGATCTGTCCGAATGGTTCAAGCGAAGAAAGTAGGTTAAAAAATTACCACGATTGTGCTGGCTCAGGCCAGAGACATTCTAAAACCATGCAAACCTGTCATCTACAATTATATGTTACTTTTTACCACACAAATCTCCTAATCTTTGCCTAATATAAGTGTCAGTACCCACAGACTACTAGAAAAACTAACTAAAATGGCCAGGAAATAACAATCATCCTATCACTCTTCTTGGCTCACCAAAGACTCAGAAAATCTGAGAAACACCTGTTAACACTTAACTTGAGACAATTTAGCTGCTAGAGAGTCTAGTTTTCTGGGGTTTTGGGTATTTATTTTGAAAAATAATTCTAACTGACATGATTATATCACATTCAAGAACAATTTATATCACAAAACAAATAACAGTTTCAGTGTTAGCCCACAAATACACACAAACAATTTCTCTGTACAGCCACAACTGCTAATAGTTGGTTATCCACACATGGTAGGCCTTAGCATAAAAAATATCTAAGAATGTAAGAAACCTGTGTACTGTATGTGGTAGTCTCTTTATTTCACTGCACAGAATCTATATCTTGTCTTGTTGTAGAACACTGCCTAAAAGAATGTTGATGTAGGAAATGTAAACACAGAATATTTTAACCATAGGTGGACAGATGAGGTTAAAAAATATTCAGCAATCTGTATTCATGCCAGGAATCAGTGACTGTTGTTTAGCAAAACAATTGCTTTGCGGTCTGTAAAAGCATATCATGAATTACTGTCTTTTTACGAAAAAAACTCAGTTAGCTTAAAGTACAGACTTTGTCAGAACTACATCAAACTCTAGTTAAAGAATTACTGTTTCTGCTTATCTATGTTGCACATTTGCTTGTGTCAGTTAAATACATTTACCCAACTGGACAGCCAGCAATCAATACATTTTGCTGTTTAGCTTGTCTAAAAACTCAGATCGATGGCAACCTTTAAACTTTATTAATTCAGCAATCAGCTCCATTATAAAAACAAGCATCATACGATGCCCTCCAAAAGTACTGGGGCAGCAGAGTCAAAACTATTATTCTTGCTTCAAAGTAAAGCAATTTGTATTTGCGATTCTGAGTTTAATATGAATTTTAATTACATAGGAATAAACATTTTATTGTTTACATATTTATATTCAACATGTTTTATACCCAAATGTTTATAAAAATTGATACCCAATATTTTGGGGGATTCTGTGCATACATTTTATCATATTAGAACAAAAACACATGTTGTGTTCAACCTAATTATTTCACATGGCCATTACTTCAATTTTGTCACTACTTATTCACAATATTTGTATTTAACTTATTTAATTGTGCGAGGTGCTTCTGAATTCACTTGTGTCAGTACGGCAGCTGTGTAAGTTGTTTGTTCTCTTTATACTGATTTCAGAGGAGGCATGGAGGTAGGGGCCGACATGTTTTTGAGAAGGGCTGGAATGTGTGGAATGTGATGGGGTGGATATGTGAAAGTGGATGTAATGTTTTGAACTGAGGGTACCCACCTCCATATGTCCATTTATTTTGAAAAAAAGATCTTTAGAAAAGTATTTTTGCTGATAATATTAGGGTGTACACAACGGTGCAGTGGTTAACATTGCAGCTTCACAGTGCTGAGACCCTGGGTTCAGTTCCTGACCTGGGGTTCTATCTGCGTGGAGTTTGTATGTTCTCCCCATGTTTGTGTGGGTTTTCTCCCACAGTCCAAAGACAAACTGGCAAGTTAATTGGTTTCTGGGAAAATTGGTCCTGGTATGAGTGTGTGCAAGATATCCAAGATAGGCTATGACTCCCTGTATTGGATAACACTCAGAAAAAGGATGGATGGATGAATAATAAACCTGAATGTCAAAGATATACCCAATTATGCAACATGAAAACATTACAACATTACTGTAATGAGCACAGAGGCCAACAGTTAGGTCTATAGATGTTCTTAAACTAACCTTCTTATTATCATGTACAGGTTTAATGAGACTCATTCAAACAACCTACATAAATAGACTGTTAAAAAATCACACAAGAAATGGAGCTCCAAGGTTGATACTGTAGTTCTTGTTCTACAAATGAAACAAGATGGGTATCTTTGGTTGGGCTCTCTTTCAAGTTATTAGCTACTGTACGTTACCTCCCTAGAAAGCAGGAGCACACTCAATCACTCAGCAACGTATGGAGGGTCGAAGTAGTTATGAATCAATTACAACAATTATTTTACAGTCCCATAAAACTGAAGTAGGCCCATAACAGAATAAAACTTGTAAGTGCCCTAATTGCAAATTCTGAATCCTAGATTAAAACAATACTTTTACTTAGTGTTCCTTTTAAAGGGGCTGAGATGGCCAACAGATTGAATTGCATCTTAAAGATTCAAAAAGGGGAGACTCTGCAATTTAATAGATTTGGTATTAAATCATGTTTACTTTTAATATGATTTTTGTACCATGCACTGCTTTTCTCAAATGCTGCAGTGAATATTGTAACCACTGCATAACTGACTCCTGCAGTCGTTTATTTATTTCCAGAAATGGATATCCATCATTTTATAGTTCAAATGAGGTTTGTACATCTAAAGCTACTTGAATGAAATATCCATCCATCTTCTAACTGCTGCCTCTGATTCAGGGTCTTGGGTGTGCCGGAGCCAATTCTGGCAAGCCTGACTGAAACAACTGTAGCTATATACTACCAAATACCTACCCACCGCTGCAAATTAATGTTAATATTTTTGAGCTATCACAGAAAACAAATTTAAAAGCGAATAATGGTGAATTGGAGGAGGTTATACTGGTCTCATTTCTTATGCTATGTTTGGTATGACACCATTTACACTTTGTGGCACATGTTTTCAGAAACTATTTTCTCTTTAGCTATCAAGAGCAATGGTCTTGATATTGTCAACATCTTTCGTAAATCATTGTAAACCGCTACACATAAACACATAAGAAAACAAAATTGCACGTTAACATATGATTTACTCAGGCAGCACAGTGGCGCAGCAGTTATTATTTCTGCTTTGCAGCGCTGGAGTTCTGGGTGCCATTCGGACTTGGGGTGCTGTCTGTATGGAGTTTGTATGTTCTCTCTATGTACATTTGGGATTCCTCCAGACCAGACGCTCTGGTTTTCTCCCACAATCCAAGGACATATTAGTAAGGTAACAGGCTTCTGGAAAAACTGGTCCTGGAGTGGCTGTGTGCTTATCTGCGTGTCTGTGTGTGCCTTGTAATGGACTGCCATCCATTCATACATATTCAACCAGATGCATGTCATTTGCCCCAATGAAATTTGGCCATGAAATACAATGTGCACACAAAATTCTGCATTATGCTCACAATAGAGTACTAACGAAAAACTAAGTTTAATAAATTCACACTGTCTCTTACAAGTGAATCGTAATCACAACCCTTTTCTCTTGGTCCACCTGATTCAGCACAAACACAATGTTTTTTTGCTCCTGCAGTGGAAATTCAAAC